CAAGACTTCGACAACGGCCACGTGATAAACGCAGCACCGGAGGAATCTTAGCTATTCTACAAAGCACTGAATAGGCTAAAAGATGAAGAAGTCAAAGATTGAAGCCATTCATAGACCATTCTACGCAATTTCCTCAACAAAGCACTAGAAAAATTGTAAGGAAAGCTTATCATATCCAAAGTGTCCCAGACTCCTCACTAAAGAAATGATGAGTCTGAGATACTTTGGAGGGGGTATCTGTAGGCATCAAAAAATGCTTACAGACATCCAAATACCACTCAAGACAAAGAAAAGGTGGTAAACATCAGTCTCTTAATCAGAGGGGATCATTCAAAGAAAGCAAGACAACATGGAAGAACATGTATACACAACACTTGGTGCCGCGGCTCAGGCGCGGCAGCTCATGGTGCCGCGGCCATGGCGCGACAGCATATAGTACCGCGGCCATGGCGCGACAGCATATAGTGTCGCGGCTAAGTCGCGGCAGCATATAGTACCGCGGCTAAGGCGCGGCAGCATATAGTGTCGCGGCTAAGACGCGGCAGCCTAGGGTGCAGCGGCTATTATAGGGGGTGCTATGGTGGTTACAAGGCAGTTATACGATGATTATTTGAAGCCACCAGAGATAGAACGTGTGCTGACGTGGACAAGCAGTTAAACCACGAAAACGTGGTTAAAGGTCGTGGGAGAACGGTTTCAAGCACGATGGAACGTGCTGGTAACCGGCTCTCTTTGGCCGCGTAAGCCCAGACTACCGCTGCCAATTATCCGCGGCAGCCCACACTGCCGCGCTAATAGCCGCGGCAGTGTTGGCTGCCGCGGCCAAAGAAGGTTCATCTGGTTGGTTGTTTCGCCCCCATTTTAACTGTGGTGCACTCCTACCCCTATAAATACCTCCCTAGACACGAAATAAAGACAGAGAGCATTTGGAGGGCAGATTAGAGCAGAGGGCCTTGAGTTTTTGGTGAATTAGAGCAAGAGAGAGAGTCTTCCTTCTTCATAAACATCCTCAAGAAGCTTCTGGCGATTCCTAGAGATCTAAGCTCTGACTTGATCTTTAGAAGAGTGAACATCTTACATCGATAAGATATTCGCTTCAAATTCTTACTTCGATAAACGAAGGAAGAATGATTAAACCCCTCACGGTTCAATCAGAATCTGTGATTCGGTGGTCCACGAGTCAAAGCGCTCCCGGCACAGGCAAAGATTCCACGCAATCAGTGATCCAAACAACGATCCTGCGTTTGTTTCTAAAAAGTTGTAATTTTCATTTTGTTGTGTAAAAGAAGTCTTATAAAAAGGCTATTTCTTTTGAATTTGTTGTAATCGACCGAAGATATAATGAATTCCACAATGAGATCAACTTTCGCTAAAAACAGCGACTCCGCTGGGGACTAGCTTTTCCGACGAAGAAGTGGTGGCGCAGTCCGACGTCCACCTCATGGGAACCACTGTAGAAACTCTTGTCGTGGAGTTTGATCAAGCAAAATATGAGGAAGCCTTATCCTATGGATCACTTAGCCCCAAGGCTAAGCATGGTGTCCGCAAGATCTCTAAGGAGATCAATTCTGTTGTTGAAGTGCCGAAGAAAGCCCTCTCCTTCGGCCAGGAACTCAAACTAGCTCTGCTAGTTGAAGATCCCACCTCCGCGTCAGCCAAACATACTTCGGGGCACAAACGGCCTTTGTAGGAAACGAGTTCCATGAGCGTCAATGACATTGCTGCTAAGGCTTTGAAACAAGCCAAGAAAAACGCCGCTCGCAGACGGAGAAGATCCATACGACGAGCGCATCTACGTGAAAGCCGAAAGTTGGCCCAACGCGAAAACCGTAATTCTGAAAATCCAACCGAGCCTAGCGTTCCCAAAGAAGAACGCTCACTTCGTGGTAATGAGCCCAACTACGAGCCTCGGCTGATACAGCTGAAACGTGACCCTGAGTGGCGCGTTGTTCCTTCAAAACGCAGCCCTCAGAAGGGAGCTGTCAAAACTAAACGCGACCCTCAGGTGCGCGTTCAAACAAAACATGATTCTCAAGAATCTGTTTCACCAACTAAACGCGACCCTCAGGTGCGCGTTCAAACGAGACATGACTCTCAAGAGTCTCTTTCACCAACCAAACGCGACCCTCATGGGCGCGTTCAAACAAAACATGACCCTCAAAGGTCTGTTTCATCATTTAAACGTAGGCCTCGTCCTAATGTTTATAAATCTCAACGCGACCCTCGCGTTATTTCTCAAGAACGCGATCTTCAAGAGGTCCGCCAGGTTCAGAAAAGTCGGCGTAGCTTTAAAATCCACGTTCGACAAGAACCAATCTCACCCACCCAAGGGCAGGGGGTTCCATATCCACCTCCGTGCCCGGGGAAAGTCTCCTCTCAAGTTCCTAATCTGCGAGAATTATTGTCGAGAGGAAATCCAACAGCACAAGCAGCTCACTCATGTCAATGTGAGAGGCTTATATCTGCAGTCCTGTCAGAATGCCATTGTTGCGCATCCACACCTCGGCGGTCTGTATTCGATAGGTTGACGAATGTCGTTAGACCTGCCAAACGACAACACCGATACAAAAAGAAGACAGCTGATGCGGAATACTCCGAAGTCACCATCAACATGATCGGCAGAGGAAAAGCCTCACATACTGATTCCGATGAGTCACAAAAAACTCATTCCCCAACTGTTAGGGAAATTTGTGACCAGTTCGAAGGAGTATATCGGAATACACGGACTCGGACAGGAGCTATCCGTCCGGTTGATTATCAAAGATTGGCCAAGGGGGTCGTTTCCGACGATGAACATTCGGTAGTCGCCGAATCTCAATCTTCAAGTTCTGTTGTCGCACGTGAGGTCTCCGCTTACACGATAGGGAACCATGAAGACATAGCCAAAAGAGTGGACGAACATCATGTCATGCTCCAGGCGCAACATGAGACACTTCTCCAATTAAAGGATATGCTGGCCCAGCTTCTCGCTAAAAAAGGGCAAAAACCCGAGTCTTCCTGGAGAACTATGTCAAAGGGAAAGCAAAAGGCGCACGAACACTCAGATCGTGAGATCACAACTTGAATTCTTCTTCTAATAATGAGAAGGAGATGGAAAAAGAGCTGTATCCTCAGTCCACCAAAATGGATGAACTGGAAGCTCGCCTCAATGCAATCGCCAACAGAAGCGAGCTCCGTGAAGAAGGAGTAGTGTGGCCTTACCCTGCCGAGTGGGATACAGCTCCCTACCCACCGAAATTTAAGGCCCCTACCTTATAACCGTTCGATGGTACAGGATCGCCAAATCAGCACATCTACTACTTTAAATCCTAAACTGGAGATGTGGTAGCGAATGACGCCATCCTGACCAGACTATTCATCGGTACCCTTAAGGGTGTAGCTTTCGAATGGTTCATGAAACTGCCTGCCGGATCCATCCAGAAATGGGTAGACCTGGAAAGGCTATTCTTGGCCAGGTTCTTTGAGGATGATACGGAGGTCTCAGTCCCAACTCTCCTCGCCACTAAGCAAAGGAAAGGAGAGTCCATCAAGGCCTATGTGGAAAGATTCCGCAGCATGGCATTGCGATGCCCCTCAGGTATGACCCAATCAACTTTGGTTGAAACTTGCAGGCACAACCTACAAACCCAGCTCCTTGCTCAGATGGGGTAGCAGAGTGTCGCTCCTGGAGACAACTAGTTTCACAGGGAGAACAAGCTGAAGAGATAGTGGCGCGAGTTAAAGCTGAAGAAGAGCCGCAACCCAAGCTGCAGCAGCAACGCAACCAGAACAACGCCCAGCGGTCTAAGGGAAAGAAGACTTTAGCAGCTGACTACACGCGAGTACCACCGCCTAATAAGCAAGGCAAGGCGCCTAATCAACAAAGAGCGCCCAAGCAATATTCGTTTAAAGAGGAGCATGTGGATACCTTATTCCAGTTGCTTCGAAAGAACAACAAGCTGCAACTGCCTGAGATCAGGAAGCCGGATGAAGCAGGGAAAGTGGATGACCCTAATTATTGTCGTTACCATAGATTCCTTGGACATCCTACCAAAAAATGCTATGTCTTTAAAGACATCTTGCAGAATTTGGTAAATGCTAATGTACTCACCTTGAAGCCAGAACAGAAGACCGTATCCACCAATATGATAGCGGTCCAATTCGGTGACTTCCCCCTGGTGGTAACTGCGAACGGCATTGTCCCCATTCACAAGGGAGAAATGCACTTGAAGAATGTTGACTTGCATAATAAAAAAGATAGGGGGTTGGTACCCCTCACTACCCCAAAAGGGGAAATCATGTGGGTCCACCCTGATCTGCTAAGAGATCAAGAATGGACGAACACCTCGTCCAAAAAGAAAGGAGGCAAGGCTAAGTCTTCCAACATGATTAGCCCCTCCATTACTGAAAATGATGATCACCTTAAACCTCTTACTGATTCAGAAGAGGAGAGGATTGCCCTGGAAGCATACCCAGGAGACAACCCTGACACTCGGTCAGGAAAAGCTTACTTGAGGGATTACAGCCAAAACGCTCAAGAGGTGGAAGAACAGCCCCAAGACACTGGGGGTTCTGTCCCAAAGAAGCCGGTCGATAAAGGGAAACAAAAAGAGCTCCGGTTCAACAAAAATCTCCACCAGGAGCTTGGAGAGTCGAGCGCTCCCTTCCAATTCAATGTCATGGCTCAGTTAGCCAATATACCGGCCAGGATTACTCTGTATGAGCTTCTGAGGTTGTCCAAAACCACCAAGGAAGCTCTGATCGAAGCCTTAAAGAATACGGAGAGCTTCATTACTCAAGTCACTCTGATTCCTGAGGCTTCTGAAGATCAACCTTGTCTGCAATGCCTACAAGCAACGAGAAGTCTACCATGCATATCATTCACTCAGGAAGATGTGCAAGTCAAGCACGAGCATGACCGACCACTGTATTACACATGGTATATCGGATCCTCTGAAATCAGCCGTGTTCAAGTTGACCCAGGCTCAGCACTCAGCATCATGCCTTACAGGGTCATGCAGGTCTTAGGGATCAGAGATGGTATGGGAGGTGGAATAGGCGGATCCATACTGGAAAAGGTTGGGGAACCGTTGAAAGCCTGATATCCTCCTTCCATCGGCAGAATCTGCCCGTAAAGGTGCCCCCATCTACCAGGCCGAGCTCTGTGGTTTGGGTAAGAAGGGAGACGGATGGAAACTGCACCATGAAGCTATTTCCTGGCGCTTCTTTGATTTGATAGGGCCATGAACTACGATTGAAGTGAAAAGCCAGAATCTCTCTGAGCTCCTGGACGGATGGATGGCCTGACCTAACATTGAAGATTGCGAAAGCGGAGAGATGTAGGATGGTGCTGGCGGTGTTGGCAGGGACGGTAAGCATCCTGGGAGGGGCACGAAAAGTAATACCGTGATGACAATCTCGAGAGGTATGCCCTGACCCATGGCAGTGTGTACAGGTGCCATCCATAGCCATCTGTGATGGTTTATGACAGAGATTCAAGACGCTGGACTTTAGGTATTCGTTTGGGGATGAGGGATTTAGAGAGGCGCCTGTTCTGGTGTAAAAGGACAAAGCTCGAATATCGAGGGAAATTCTATTTTAACACCCTTTCCTGAACTGGAAAGACACGGATATTCATATTATGATGTGATCTGTTGGGGTGATAGACATGTCTTGGAAAGCAGCGAACATATTAATGATGTAACATCTAGAACTAACACTTACTCAAATAGAGCGCTAGCGAAATTAGAACTGACTGTAAGTAAACTAGAACTAACATTTAATCAATATGAACTAACGTAGCATCTATAACCAGCATGGTCGATAGAAATAGCGGAGGCTGCGGTTAGAACTAACACTTTAAATCTAGGACTGCCTGCATATAAATGCCTACTAACATTATGACAATTAGAACTAACGTTGTAAGTATTTTCATGTTGAATATTTCCTTTTTTACTTTCAACTTGAGCAAATACTGATTGAATAATATGTTTCTTATGAACTCAGAAAACTTTACTTCGTTATCCTCCTTCGTATTTCAAGTAGCTTCGGGAAAGGAAGACGAACCCCGATCCGAATGTCTCTCACTCCTGAAGGAAAACCTCCGGACTATTATCAAAAAACCAGAAGAGGCGTGGGTTACGTTACGCCTCCCCCTGCCTCGAAAAATGAAATCAGTAATTACCTGCGTCACGACCATTCATCCGGAATATCTTCATACGAGTCCGACGTCAGTGTTGGACCTTTCTTTAAAAGCTTGACTATGAACATGGTTTCAACTAGCCACCCCGACGAAGATGCAGGGGGTGACGAAGAGTTAGTCGAATCAACTGACGATCCTTGGATCAAACGTCTTAACATCTTGTGGGATATGCGCTTCGAATAACGCGAACCACCCACTGAAGATAAGGTGATCCAGGTCAACATGGAAGATGAGTCCGACCCCAAGCCTATCTTTATAGCCGAAGACCTGTCATCATCCGAAAAAGAATACCTTATATCTCTCATCCGAGAATATATAGATGTCTTCGCTTGGAATTATGAAGATATGCCTGACCTTGACCCGAAGGTTGCCATGCACCGTCTCAACATCGATCCGGATGCAAAACCCGTTAAACAACAACAACGCAGGTTTCGTCCAGAGATCATAGAGTCAAGTATTGCTACACAGTGATGCCCTTCGGCCTGAAAAATGCAGGTGCAACTTATCAACGTGCAATGAACACGATCTTTCACGAACATCTACGAAAGAAGATCGAGTGCTACGTTGATGACATAGCAGTAAAGAGTCAATGTAAAGACGATCATCTTGCAGATCTGAAGACAATGTTCGAAATCATGCGAGCACATCAGCTGAAGATGAACCCGACAAAATCGTTCCTCGGAGTTTCAAGTGGAAAATTCCTGGGATTTATCGTTACTTCCAAGGGAATCTCCCTTGATCCAGAGAAAGTGCGTGTCATCCAAGACATGCCACCTCCGAAGAATCTCAAAGAGCTCAGAGGTTTGCAAGGCAGACTAGCCTATATTCGAAGATTCATATCAAATCTTTCAGGGCGTTGTCAATCTTTCTCTAAGCTCATGAAGAAAGGAGTATCCTTTATCTAGGACGGAGAGTGTCAAAAAGCATTCGAGGAGATTAAGAGATATCTCACTCAACCACCAGTTCTCGTGGCCCCGATATCGGGAAAACCATTCCTGTTGTACGTGAGAGCCATGGACCATTCTCTTGGGGCTTTGTTAGCCCAGAGCAACGATCAAGGTCAAGAGCAAGCCATCTATTACCTGAGCAGGACTATGATAGGAGCCGAACACCGGTACAATCCGGTCGAAAAAGAATGTCTCACATTGGTATTCGCAATTCAAAAGATGCGACATTACCTAGTTGGACAAACCATTCAGGTCATCTCTAAGGTGTATTCGCAATTCAAAAGATGCGACATTACCTAGTTGGACAAACCATTCAGGTCATCTCTAAGGTGAATCCTTTGAGAGTTCTGATGACGAAACCATCATCTAAGGTGAATCCTTTGAGAGTTCTGATGACGAAACCATCATCTCTAAATTGTCGGCTTGCAAAATGGGTCATTCTCTTGTCGCAATACGACATGTAGTTCAAGCCTCAAAAGGCGGTCAAGGGTCAAGCACTGGCAGACTTCTTAGCCGATCATCCAGTGTCAGGAACGTCTAAGTTGTATGAAGAATTATCTGACGAAGTCGCCAAAACTTGTGTTACTCAAGAAGCTTCGCAAGTGTGGAAGTTATTCTTCGACGGTGCATCCAGAGCAAACCCTCATGGAGCAATTACCGCGGGAGTAGGAGTAGTGCTAATCTCCCCGAACGGCCACGTAATCCCAAGGGGATTCTCCTTAATCGAACCTTGCACCAACAATATAGCCGAATATAATGCTCTGCTATTAGGAATGCAATTTGCTGAAGAACTAAATGTTCGGCACCTTGAGGCCTACGGTGACTCTCAGCTCATCGTTAATCAAGTCCGAGGAGAATACGAAGTACGTCATGAGGATTTGATCCCGTATTACTTCGCAGTGCTAGAGCAAGCTCAAAAGTTCGAAGGATTCTTTATCGAATATGTACCACGAGCTCAGAATGCGTATGCAGATGCTCTGGCCTCTTTGGCAACTTCATTAGCATTGCCACCGGGAGCTAAAACAACGATTCCAGTCGCGGGACGGAAACTATGCTTCTCCAAGATCCCCATAGAGGAAAACCCAGATGAGACGACGTCAGGAGAAGTCTGTACGACATTTATGGAGTTCAAATCTAGGGATTGGCGATTCCCGTACATCGAATATGCCGTATATGGAATTCTGCCAGATGACCCTAAGGAAGCGGCCTCTATCAAACGAAAGGCCCTCCGAAGGAAGCGGCCTCTATCAAACGAAAGGCCCTCCGATTCTATTACGACGCAGTCTCTCAAGTCCTGTATCATAAGTCACATGATGGAGTTTTGCTTCGATGCCTCTCCCGGAAGGAAGCAAAAGAGGCCCTTAAGGAAGCTCACGACAGAATGTGCGGAGCTCATCAGCCCGGAGCTAAATTTGGAGATCGCCTCTGACGAATCGGCTATTATTGGCCGAAGATATTTTCAGACGCGGTTGACTACGCTAAACGTTGTCACGCGTGCCAAATTCATGGAGAATTCATCCACCAAGCACCGGGGAACTTACACCCCACATCGGCGACTTGGCCATTCGAAATGTGGGGTATGGATATCGTCGGACCGATTTCCCCTCCGACGTCCAAAGGACACCGGTTCATTGTAGCCGTAACCAACTATTTCTCTAAATGGGCGGAGGCAATCCCGTTGAAAGAAGTCAAGACTTCAAATGTAATCAAGTTTATCAAGCATCACATCGTCTACCGTTTTGGAGTCCCGAGACGAATAGTTCACGACAACGGGACACAATTCGTCAGCTTTGGGTTTCAAAGATTTTGTGACAAATTCAGAATCCAAAGTGTTGCATCTACGGCGTATTATCCACCAGCAAATGGTCTTACAGAAGCTTTTAACAAAACCATAGTGAAGCTTCTCAAAAAGTTTATTTCCAAAAGCCGGCACAATTGGGATGAAAGACTGGGTGAATGTCTATGGGATTACCGCACGATAGTAAGGACCTCTACAAGAACCACACCTTTCTCTTTGGTATACGGCTGCGAGGCTGTATTGCCATTGGAAATCCAGATCCCTTCTCTGAGAGTTGCTATTACAACCGGGCTAACAGAAGAAGAAAAACATCAACGACGTCTACAAGAACTTGAAGCCTTAGACGACAAACGACTTCAAGCTCAGCAACAGATCGAGTTATATCAAGCCAGTATCTCTAAAGCCTACAACAAAAAAGTTAAGGAACAAGTTTTCAAGAAAGGCGATTTAGTGTTGGCCAACAGACGACCCATAGTGATGATACACAAAACCAAAGGGAAATTCAATCCTAAATGGTAAGGGCCCTTCGTAATAGAATCAGTCTATTCGAATGGAGCATATCGACTTATCAACCAAGAAGGAGATAGGCTCATGATGCCGATTAATGGGAAGTTCCTTAAGAGATACTTCCCGTAAATCATATAGCCCCCCGAATCCCAACTAAATCAGGCTGGGGGTTGCCTATTTATAGTGTAGTTCTATTTTGTATATCATCATGTTAACACTACATCTCTAACGATTGTAATTTGATGGAATTATTCTAAATAAATAATAAAGGGAATTTTGATAGCATTAGCTCTATTCTCCATTATCTTGAATCAGGTTTCAGCAGAAGAGATGATAAAAGGAAAAATGATATCATTTTCATTCAAAATTGTTAATCTAAACACAAAATGATGACAAACAAAGTGAAAATGATACAAAATTCCTTAGTCAAGAACAAGACGATATCTAAACATCAGGCCTTATTAACTTGAGAGATTTTAGCCTCGACTTGAAGGCAGAAAGTTTCTTCTGGTGAGCCGCTCGGACTTGTTCTTCAATCTTCTTTCTGAGTTCTGCTTCAATAGGAAGGGTAGCAACAATATCTTTGCGAATCCGCTCAGCCGCATGGAGAGTACGGCAAAAGTCTGTATAAATTTGGCCACTTTGATGCTCAAGCTCTTTTCTGACATCCTCATAGTGGGCCAATTGGGCTTTCTTCTGGTCCAAATCGGCCTCTAATCGAGCGATAGTCTCTTCGATACCGCGGATATCAGAAGCAACACCTTTGATTTTGGCATATGTTG